CCCAAAGCGCAAGCATGAGAGGCACAAAGGCGAGACCCTAGACCATGGCTCTAGCCTCTGGCCAGCTGCCAGGGCGGAGTCGGGGCTGGGCCTTTGGAGCTGCTCCATCTCTGGGCTGCTCCCCTTCCCCACTTCCTGGAGAACTGGCTGGGGTGGAGTGAGAGGGCAGCTCATGTTGCAGGCCCAGCCACACCTGTCTAGGATAAATAAAGGCATTTCCCTGCCACCCTCCACTCCCAGGCTACCTCTTGAACCCCCTTCTCTGTGGGTCTGCAAGCGGAGACCCTTTGAAGGGAGGCTTGAGGGGCTGCCACTGCCCCAAGGTTGCTGCCATGGGCCCCTGGGCCTGCGTCCTTTCAGGAGGAGTTGCAGCGCACACCTGTAGCTGAGAGAGGACAGGCCCCACCAAGTGCCTCTCCGGTAGTCCCAGTCAGAGGGCTGAGCAGGCCGGTATGGGAGTTAGGAGTGACCAGGACACAGGAGATCCACCCATGGCCATCCCTGTCCTGTGAGCAAACTCGAGCCTCAGTTTGCCAGGCTCTGAAGCGAGGTGATGATCCCAGCCTCGCCTGCCTGCCCACCCCACAGGGTTGCAGACTCCTGCCTCTGGGGCCCTATGACACAGGCTCAGGTCCTGGCTGGGGTGAGAGTGGGTTTCCTCCAGAGAGCTCTGGCCCTGCCTCCCCCTTAGGGAGATGTCCCTTGTGCAGAAGGGCCTGGCGAGCCAGGAAATCCTACGGCCCTGGTGGGATGGTAGTGCTGTTTCTGCAAGGCCTGCCTGGCCAGTGGCACTGAACCAGGACACAAGGCCAGGCTACCAGCAGCCCACCACCAGAATCTCTCAACAAGCTTCAAGCCCTGGGGAGGGCTCCAGCACCTAGTCCAGCCTGCTCCATGGCTCAAGTGATGTGGAGTATGCCCCTAAAGGAAGCTGAGAGGCCATTATGACCATCCCCCAGTGCCCTGCCTGAACTTGGGGCTCTATTATTAAAAGTCCCCCCAGTCACTGGATCCAGCACATCCCCACACACCCCCTCCCTGCAGTAAGGACATTCCTCCTGGTATCTAGCTTAAGGCCTCTGGACTGCCATTTAAGCCCCTGGCTGGCTGGGGCCAGGTGGCACATAGACCCTGGGTGAGGTCATTGACTATCCTGAGTGCCACTGGGACTGATGGCCAATTTGCACCCATAGGGATAGGGCAGAGAGCACCAGCAGGAGGCCTCGAGATGGTGGCACTGGGGCAGGTGCGGGCGCAGACCCAGGCAGGGGAGGCCACAGGACCTATAAGAGAGCTCCACCTTGTACAGGAATGAGGCCTGCAACCATGGGGGTGGGAGCTGTGTGGGGTCATGGGGAATCCACTGGGGCTCACATGCCCACAGGCCACCACATCATGCAAAGTGTGCTAGCTGTGGGTGTCCAGGACCCTGTGGTCTACAGGGCAGTCGGTCTGGAGGGGTGGAGTCTCCAGGTTAGCACAAGCCACATCTCCAGCTGAATGATGGAGGGCAGAGCCTGTTCCCTGTGCTAGAGCCAGGCCAGCACCCACCCTGGAAGCATGTGGCCTCTATGGCTATTATGAGGCTCTCACGACACCCCTGGGTGGGGCTTCTACTTCTGGGGTCCCTCCAAGTACCCACAGAACCCAAAGTTCCAAAACAGAGACTACTCCTCCAGTGGGGGTGTTGTCTCCTGACCCTCTTCCCAGGCCCCCAGCACCTCTGCCAAGCTCCTTCAGGCCTTGCCCGCTTAAGTGCCTCCCCTCCAACCCCTTTCTCTAGCCTCCAGGCTCCAGCCAAGTCCCTAAGGCCCCGGAGAAGAAACTGTCTTCTTGTTCTCCTGGTAGGCAGTAGCCCAGATATCCCTGCCCACCCACTACCCTTCAGTGACAGCCTGGGGGCCTCCTTGTCGCTCCTCGTGCCCAGGCTAGCATGGCCAGGGGCTCAGCCACCAGGCAGGGTTGTCCTTGCCCTGTATGCCTCACAGTTCACCCTGAGCCTTGGGGCCTTCAGCCCTGTCTTCAGTGTCTACCAGCGCCTTGCTGGGGAGTCTCTGTTTGACAAATACTGACTGAGCGCCTGCTATGGTCTAGGTGCTGGCCTCCCATCAGTTCCTGTTCCTGAGCGCTTCCTAGGAGCATGGCCAGCTTTCTGCCTTTCTGGTGTTGCTGTCTCTAGCCAGGCAGCAGAGTTACTCAGACAACCCCCAGTGTTCTGTATCATCCACATCAGGCCGTGCTGCTCCCCGTCACAGACATCACAGGACATGGGGCCATCTCCCCAGGCCCCAGCGCATGTGGGGAACAAGACATGAGACAAACAAAGCAGCCATGGTGAATGGGGAGGAGCTCAAGCAGGTGAGGGAGGAAGGCCCAGCCCCATGAGCCAGAGGGCTGGCATCTCAAGCTTGGGATGGAGCGGGTGCTGGAGCCCATACTCAGTCCAGCCCAGCCCCACGCTCTGAAAGCAGGGCAACCAAGGTCAACAGTCTGTCTGTCAATCTATCCAACTATCCATCACCTGCCCTCTTCATGCTTGGAATCCTCCCTTCCCGAAGCAGCTGCCCACCTCTGGGGAAATGTTCCGGGCTTGGGGGCACCCAGAGCCCACCCTAACAGGGAAGGGATTAGGAAGGCACTGTGTTCTCTGTCCAGCTACCTGCCTGCCTGCCTGAAAACTCAGCATTTTCTTCTTTGCTGAAAACACCTACCACCTGTTCATGATGTCTCACACTCATAACAGGCCAGCAGGCTCCGGTGAGCAAACAGCTGTGGCTGAGAGCAGAGGACCAGGCCAGTCCCAGGGGATGGGACATGCTCTACTTTCTGAGAGCCTCAGAAAGGACAGACAGACAGATGGACATTTCCTCCAAGTGTTCCCACCCCCTCGGGTGCCAAGCTGTGGCAGGGTGCACTCACCCGGGAGATAGTGAGGGGCATGTTGAAGTCCTTGCCCCCCTGCAGACGGAAGCCCCAGGGCCCGGGCCCAGTCAGGGTCACACTGTAAGACATGTCGGTGCTGTCAGCAGTCACCTCTGTGGACAAAAGGTAGAGAGGATTGAGTGAGAGGGCACTCACACACTCCACCTGCCTGGCCCACACCTCTGTCCCTGCCCCTGCCCCCCAGCCTTGCCTGCTCTGTCCCTTGCTGTCCAGCAGGGCTGCGTGGAGCTCCTGAGAGGCTCCTAAGAATAGCTGGGAGCAAATGCCATCGACACTGATATCTGCCCTCGGCTGCGCCCATAAATGGACTGAAACCCTACACTGTGCCCGCCCGCCTGTGGCCTCCCACCGTGACTCACATGGCTAATATAGCCCCTGGGGAGGGATGTCCGGCACCTAGCACCCCCCAGGGGGCAGGAAGGGGGACTGGCCAGGTTGGTGAGAATGCCCTGGTCTCCTTGCTCCTGTGTCCTCTGGAGAGCGCAGATACTCGCTTTTCCTGCTCGGTGGTACCCATCCTCTTGCTCAGAAGATGGGGGAAGCTGAGCTCCCTTGGGCAGAGGCTTTGCTGCCCTGTGGTCCTTGCCCAGGATTCTAAGATTGTGCTTTATCCAGTGTGGCGCCCTGGAGGTGCCTCGGCCTGAGCTGAGCCTCTAGCTGGTCTGGGACTGGCCCAGGGTTGTCCAGCCATAAAAATGATCGTAATAGCAGCAGCTCTGGGCATGGCCAAGCTCAGCATGGGCCCTTTACTCCCTGGGATCCTGAGAAGCTGCCACCTGGGACTGCAGGAGACAAGCCTCAAGGAGGTTAAATGACTTCTCCAAGGTCACGCAAGGAGTGGATCCAGGCCACACTGGAGCCTGGGCTGATTCCTACAGGATGCATGCCAGATCATGGGCTCCCAGTGGCCACGGATGCCTCCCAAAGCCCTAGTCCTGGGCAGCTGGCCCTCTGCTTGCACCCCTTGGCACAGGGTCTGAAAGCAGGTCTGAGGCAGGGCCATCCCTTCCAGACCCCCTGGGGGACCAGCCAGTTATTCCTGGCTCTCCTGTCTCATTTGTACTCTGGAAAACTTGACGGCAGCATGGAAAGCTCCAGCTGCCAGTGCCACACGCCAGGCCCGGTGCCCTTTGCACAGGAATGGGGGGGGGCAGGGAGAAGGGAGGAGACGCCATTTGCTCAGCTGCTAGGACACAGGGCCAGGAGGGGCAGGGAAGGGAAGCATGTGTGGCATGTTCAGCCCATACCCCAGAGACAATGTGTTCTGGGTGGGGGCCTTGGCGCCTTGGGACTTCTGCCAGTGTGGTCTTTGGGCCAACCCCTTCCCTAAGAAAGACCTCAGGTCCCTATGTGATCTGGAGATAGTTCAAGGCCCACCCCCACTCCCTGGTTGAGGAAACTGAGGCTCAGGGGAGGCAACTGGATTGGCTGCTTGCTGGCCCTCTTGGAGGGCTCTGGCTTGAACCCTCAGGAGTCAGTGCAGGCCTGGGTGTGAGTCATTTCTCAGCTTCCAGCCTTACACCTGGGGTCTGGCACATGCAAAGCGCAAGGTAGGATTGCCCATATTACTGGGTTGTTTGGTCAGTTACCCAAGGTCACAAAGCTATCAAGTGGAAGAAGCCAGGGAAAGACCTGTGTCCCTTCCCCACTTAATCACCTCCTTCACCCTATCTCACGCAGCTCAGCCTAGGAGGCCAGCAGTTTATGGCCAGCGTCCCGCCCTTGTACCATTCCCTGCCCCTCCCGGCAAAGCCCCATGCCATTCATCCCTAACTCCAGCCTTATTCCCTTTCCTAGGGGTGTCTGTCCATCCTGCCAGGCTGGGGAGGACCCAGCCAGCAGGGCATAACCAGTGTGGAAGAAGGAAGGCACCCACCCTGCACAGGGCTGGGGAGCTGGGGGAGGCTGTACCTGGAGCTGCAGTCTCTTTCTCTGGCCTCTGGCTCCTGTCTGATGAAGCTCGCCTCTGGGGAAAGGGAAGGTGGCAGGAGAATGCTCTTAAAGGCAAAGGTCGACCTCCCTCCATCTGCCTCCCCCGGGAGACTGGAAGCCAGTCAGAGAGCAGCTGGTACCCATGGGCTGGGCGGAGCTCAGTGGCTCATTGGGGAGTGAGTGGGAATGGGGGCCAGCCTGGCCTTTTCCCCTTCTTTTTGGTACTCCCTGAAGTTTAAGGTGGGTCTGCAGAGTGAGAGTCCCAAGAATGGGGACAGAGAGAGGGGAGGAAGCGAAGTTGCTGGAGCCATCAGAGGCGAGGCCCTGGTTCTCGCTCCCGTAATAGCACCAACAGGTAAAGACCATATTTGTCTGAGGACACCTTCTCCGCTTTTTATTTTTCTATACCTGTCAGATCCACACAGACCTGGGAGGAGCTGAGACCACTACATGAAATGAATCACAGATGCAGAGTGCGCACGCATGTACTTGGGGTGCATTCAGATAGGTAGCTATGGGAGAGCGTGCCTGCAAATGCCCGCGTGCACAAGAATGTGGGCCACAGTGATACCAGTACACTGGGAGAAGAAGCCAGAGGTAAGTAACTGTTCCAGTGTGCAAAGGGAGGTCTGTGCTCAGCTTCAGCTGTTGCCAGTGGGAGATGCGGGGCTGGACTTCCTATGCTAGCGACAGGCCCAGCCTGGGTGCAGAGGCTCATAAATAGCCAGTGTGTTCCCTGGAGCCATCACCATTGTCATCAGCTGGACAATTGCAGCACACAGCATTTGAGGAGAGGCAGACAGCTCGGGAAGCAGGAGGGCCTGGGCACACACACTTCAGGCTGAGCCTGGGGTGCAGCTGCTGAGTTGCAAAGTGGGTGCGGAGGATATTGTGGGGTAGGAGTTTTGAAGTGTGGAGAGGGGACATGGGGGTGGGACTTTGAATTCCATGCAGCACGGGTGACAGGGCCCCTTCCAGAGCCTGCAGGCTCACAGGGTAATCCTGGATCTGTGTGTATGAGGGAGCTGTTGGGGGGCTGGATGTGTCCCAGAAGAAAGGCAGAGCCAGTGGGCGTCCTACATCCTGGCGTCCAGGCTGGGGAGCAGCCCCTTGGTCTGCAAACAAACAGTACACATCTGTTTAGTGGAGGAGCAGTTCACTGAAGGCAGTCTCTCAATGACCCTCCATACACTGGGTCACTGAGGGCTAGGGGAGGTTGCATGGAAGGGCCAGATTGTGTCCTGGGTCAGGGATGGGCCTTCCCAGAGTCCACATGCCAGAGTAGGAACCAGCAATGTCTAGCGTTGCCTACAGAGCAGCTCCTGGGATGCTCCCTGGGCTCTTGACTCCATGGGTCACAACTGAACTCATCCTCACCCCCACCAGCCAATCCTCTCCTCTCCTCTCCTCTCCTCCACATGTGGAGACTGAAATCACCCCTCGCTCCTGCTGCCCTTAAATGGGTCATTCCTTGCCTGCCCTGCAGCACTGGTTTCCTCTGGTCTTCACCCTGCAAAGCTGACCAACCCCCTTCCGGGGCTACCTGTCCCCAGGTCAGTTCTGGAGACACCTCAGGCCAGTCCCTGATGGGGCCTTCCCACTGCTTCGACCACTTCCTGCCCCTCTTCCTCTCTTTTGTCCCCCACTGCCAATCCCCAGGGTACCTCTGCCCCAGTGTTTGCACAGTCACACAGGCTGTATCCTCATCCTGGACCACTCAGTGCTCCCCACACTCCCTGCCCGGGCTGCCTGCAGATCCCCAACCTCTACCTTCCTGGGGAGCATTGGGGACTTGCCCCTGCTTTCAGTACCCTGCGTGCTCACACCTCGATGACAGCACTTATCACATGTGTTTGGTGACTGCTGATGGCTGCCCAGCATCCCAGCCTAGCCCAGTATCCCTCCAAGACAGGCACTGTGTCTTTCATCAGTGCCTGGTCAGCCTGGGGGTCACTGCCAGGCCTTTGTCCTGGACTTTGGCATGCACAGTGCCTGGACTCCAGGACAGGGGGCAGTGCCCTTTGGGGGAATGCTGGGGGAGGCTGAGGTACCCTAACTGCAGGGACAGCCCAGGACTCTAGTTCTTGGACGCAGAGGGCACAGCACTAGGGAAGGAAGAAAAGCAGGAATGTGCCTTTGGCCTTGGACCAGCTAGGGAAGCCTGAGGAGCCCAGGAGCCGGGCTGGGGGTGTTGTGTGGGTGTGACAGGAGGGGCAGACAGGGAGTTGTCAGCTGGGGCGAAGGGCTGCCTGGGAGCCTGTGCACATGGCATTTCCAGTGTTCCAGAATATGGCCTTCTCTAATCGCCATCGACATTCCGTTCCATAGGCACTTGGGCCGACAGCTGGCCTTCTTTTAATAGCCACAAATGTTCTGAGTGACATCCTGATCTCAGGACATTCATGGTGAGCACATACACAGCTTGCAGCCCCTTCCTCTCCAGGTATGTCCAACCTTGCAGTCACACAGAGAGGTACACATCACCCATACTTGGTCACATGCATAGCTTACAGCAGACACATTGGGGCATGCTCAGTCACGTGTCACTGGGTGTCAGAGTGACAGAGCATGCGCCGGACACATGGCCACACACATGCTCGAGCTATGCTCTGCCAGCTGCAGACCCCCTATCCTCGTGGACACACACATGTACATTCATCATGGCACAGCACAGCCAACAGCACTGTGCAGAGTCAGAGTTACACGATCACACACAGACAAGTGCAGACCACACGCAGGCCCTCTCAGAGCATCTTGGAGTCACAGAGACCCCTAGGTGGACAAGGAAGAGCTGCGGGCGCTGGGAGCAGGTGATTCCTGAAGGGTATCGCCCTTGCCCACGAGAACAAGACCCCTTTCCTGGCCACTCCCTGGGCTACTCGCCCCTAATCCCCACCCCCTTATGGATTGGCAGGTACAGGATCCAATCACCTTCCCTGGAGTCTCTGCTTCCTGTCTCTGGGGCCTGGGCGGTGCCTTGGCTTCCAAGTCCTCCAGACCATGACCATAGAGGGACCGCCCATTCGCTTGCTGCGCAGCTCCCCACGCAGCAGCTGCCTCCATGTGTGTCCAGCCCTGGGAGAGGTGAGAGAGTGACTCTAAGGTGAGAGGGACAGTCCACAGCTTTGGTCCTGCCCCCTCCCCCACCAGGCCCTCCTCCATCCTCCCACACGTATTCATTGTGGGAGGCCCCTGACACCATTTGCACGATTTCTGGTCACCAAATAAACCCCGTAAATTGTGCGTGCCTGTGCCAGGGTGTGTGTGTGTGTGTGTGTGCGCTTGCGTGCAGGGGTGTTCGCCATCTGCACACCTGCACACTTTCCTAAGCACGTGACTATTTATATTTGAACAGATGGGTGGTCTTCACGAGGGTCTAGGCCTCCATTAACAGATTAGATTTTTCTTTGTTGTTCACTACAGCGGTTTACAGGAGGGACCCCTGACAGCACCTCTCAGTCCCTCAACTGAAACCCCCAGGGATGCTGGCAGCCCAGGGCGATCACTGGCTGATCAGTCGGCAGCAGCTCTTGCTGAGGCCCACAGAGGGAGCTGTAGGTAGAATTAAGGAGGAGACCAAGTGTGGCCGGGCCAGGAGCTGGTGGCATACGGAGCTTTCCTGGGGGCATGTAGGGGCAGCAGAGCTGCAGGCACCAAGGAGGGCTGACACCCATCCCTGGGCACACTTGGCCAGCGTTGATGTGAGACACCCGTTTTCCCTTTCAAATGAGGACGTGGACCCTCAGAGGAGATGAGTGACCTGCCCAGGCTCCCACAGCAAGCACGTGGTAAGCTGAGGCTCAAAGCCACGTCTCCCATCTCCAGGGCCCATGCCCATTCTGTAGACTCTTCAAGGCTCCCAGGATGTGGGGGCTTACTGCTGAGGAGCAAGGAGCTCCAAGCTAACTCCTGCCTTGTCTCTCTGGAGCCCTATATAGGGCCAGATGCGCTGACCTCTTCAAGCTGCGGCTCCAGTGTGGAAAAGGACATGGCCTGGAGTTGGAAGACCTGTGTTCAATCCTGGCCCCACTCCTGGGAACCCCCAAACCATCCCCTCTCTGGCCCTAGTGCCCTTCCTATCAGGGAGGATGATGAACTCCATGGGGGTGTTGGGAGGGGCTCTTCCTGCCAGGGTACCAGCATCCTGAGGGTTCCTGAGTCTCAGAGGCAGCTCTGCCAGAGCCCATGTCCCTCCCAGAGCCCTAGGGCTGCCTGAGGAAGGGATGGCCAGGCGCAAGCCGGTGAGGGCCCGAGGTCCTTACCACCTCACTCTCTGAGCCCAGGGACTCCTGGCGCCTTCGTCCGGAGATCCAGCTGAGGTTGGAGGTGTGGCTGATCAGTGTGGAGCGGTGGGTAGAGCGGTAGCTGGGGTAGGGGTGACTGTGACGGCGTGATACACCCAGCAGCACCCCCAGGCAGGGCAGGTGCTGGGCAATGGCCACCCTGCAGGGGCCGCACATCTGATTAGGTCCAGGGGATGGGCAGAGAGATGCAGGGGAGGGGATGGATGCACAGACTGGTACAGGCCTAATGTACTGTTACAAGAGCCTTGGGGAAGTGGAGAGGCTGAGACCCTGGGAACTATGGCAGGTGATGAGGACAGAAAGACAGATGCTGAGTGGGGAGATTGACAGGCTCACAGGGCTGGGGGGAGGGACAGACAGACTGTGGGTGGTAGGCATGCAGGGAGTGCCTAGTCAGTTCCAGCCTTCAAGTGGCTGGCTCAAGCCACATCTCTGGTAATGGTGACGAGGGACACTCCTGAGCAGACTCTGTGCTGGACACACTCAGGCCTGCCACTGGCCTTGGGAGGGCAGTGAGTGACTGACACCAGCAGGCAAAAGGAAGCACCGAGGGAGAAGCGGCCTTGCTGGGTTGCTGTCAGCACGACACTGGCCCAGAGCCACCCCAGGCCCCTGCCAGGCCCTGGGAGCAGAGCTGAGCACTCCCTATGTGGTCTCTTTAGGATGACACTATTCGGGGGTGCTTAACTTCACAGGACTGTCCTGGCTGCCCTACACCCCAGCTCTGAAGGCCCCATAGTTAGGATTGGACACTGCCCAGGGAGCTCTGACCTCCCTCCACACTGTGCTCCTGGGAAACTGGGGCAGGGGAGGGAGGCACACTAACTCCAGACCCCACTCACTGTTACTGGCTGTTCCCAACTGCTGGTGGCCCTCATCCAACACACATACAAGAGACAGGAAAGGTGGTGGCCCCTGCCCCCATCTGCAGGCCAGGCCCTCAGATGCCATGTTGTGGGGTCCTGGGAAAGAACCACACCTGTACTTGGGGTGGGTGATGGCATAAATGATGGGGTTGTGGATTGCAGAGGCCTTGGCGATGACAGCTGGCACCGAGCTCATGTAGGGTGTCAGGACGTGTGCGTACCTAGGACAGAGAAGGTGTGGTCCCCAAGCTAGCTGGCCCTCCTGACACACCTTCTCCTCTGGGCCAGGTCCTGCCAAAGCCCAAATCCTAATCTGGCCCAAACCAGTACAGCTAAGTCAGCCTTATAGGGAAGAATTGGCAGTGCCAGGATAATTCCTTATTTCATTTTTTAGCTCTGTCACCTGGGCTGGAGTGCAGTGGTGTGATCTCAGCTCACTGCAACCTTTGCTTCCTGGGTTCAAGTGACTCTCCTGCCTCAGCCTCCCGAGTAGCTGGAACTACAGGCGCCCACCACCACACCTGGCTAATTTTTGTATTTTTGGTAGAGATGGGGTTTTATCATGTTGGCCAGGCTGGTCTCGAACACCTGACCTCAGGTGATCCACCTGCCTTGGCCTCCCAGAGTGTTGCGATTACAGGCTTGAGCCACCACACCCAGCCTGTGCCAGGAGAATTCTAATCTGAGTGAGTGGGGTGGAGCAGCGGATGGTTGAGAGTGCGGCCCTGGAAGGAAGATGTGGCAGGTTTGGGGTGAAGGACCCCAGGTCCACTGTCCCTTGGAGCCTGTGCTGCTGGTGATACCCCGCTTACCCCCATTGACTCTGGTCCTTGGAGCCCAGCTCTTCCCACATTCCACCTCAACCATGAGAAACCCCACAGTAGGGCCCCGCGGGAACCAGGCCATTTCTAGAAGGTGTCCTATCTAAACAGTTCCAAGGTTTAATAACCCTCACTTCTCAAAAGCACTTCTGAAGTTGAGCCTGCATCTGTGCTGCTGCAGAGGTCACAATTCCCAGACTCTAGCCACAAAGGGCTAGAAGGGCAGCTCTCAGGGGCCCATTCCTGGAGATGGGCAGCACCTCTGGTTGTGTGACCACAGCCCAGGCAGAGAGGGAAGAGAGGGAGCTGTGTGTTCCAAAGGGACTGGCAGGCTGTCTGCCCAAAGCTGTGTGGGGCCAGAGCTCCTCTGCATGTGCCCTGGTGCCTCCAGGAACTAGGTGGCCCCCCACCCACCCTGGGACTGGGAACCTTACCCACGGAGAGAATAAGCTGTGGATGGCTGAGGATGGCTGGCTGGGGTTGGCCGGGAGGGAGAGGCTGCCCAGACTTCTTGCTCCTGCCGCTACCCCTTCAGCCTCTTTCTCAACCCTTTAGCCACTGCTCACCCAGCAAAGGCCACCAGGGCCACAGCGGAATAGGGAGCCCAGGAGAGCACAAAGAGGAGGATGACCAGCAGCATGATCTTGGCCATCTTGCACTCGCTCTGCAGCCGCTGCCGCTGCCACAGGGACTCACCACTGCCTTTGCAGGCCCCGAAGGTCTGCAGAGCCCTAGGAAAGATGCATAGTCTGGGTCTGACTCCAGCCAGGTGGCAGTGAGCACCAGAGGCACGGCTGTTGTCAGGGAGCCTCCCTGGACTATCCTTGGGGGGCACTCAGGAGAGTGTCATTCCTTCCAGTGCAGGCAGCCCTGACTTCCAGAAAGTTTTCCATGATGTGAGGCCTCAGTTGCCCCCCATGATTCTGTGTGCCTTCTCAGCCCCCTCAGCCATGCCTAAAAGCCATCCCCAGAAGCCCTTGTCTCCTGAGGCTTCCATTGACACCACTGCCCCATAAGCACATGCCCAGCCTGCCTTCACCCACTGGGCATGCTCTGGTGGGCTGGTGCAGGTATGAGTGGTGGGGCAGGGGCCGCCTGGCCAAGGGGCCAGCCCCCGTCCTGCAGTCCCCCTGCATGCTTGGCTCTTACCGTCCTGTCTCCCGGATGGCCCTGAAGATGAAGATGTAGCAGTAGATGATGATAAGCAGAGGGAGAAAGAACACGAAGCAGCAGAGAAGCATGGTGTAGGCGCGCACGGCCGGCGTGAAGCTCATGTAGTCCCAGGAGCAGGATGTCAGCAGCCCCTCAGGCACGTAGGCGCCTGAGAGCCAGAGCAGGCGTTCAGAATATGGGGTGGCATTGACCTCGGCTCCTTATCTGGCAGGAGCTTTGTATGTGGCATTTGCATAGCCCTGGCCCCTGACCTAGCCTTGTCCAGTGCAGTAAGGAAGCTGGAGGGAGTAGGGATGTCCTGTAAAGCCCACTGCCTCCCATTCCTACTAGATTTGAGTAGAAACCTCACTGTAACTGCAAGGCTGTGCTTGCCAGGGCTTCAGCCAAAGGCCTGGTCTTGCCCCAGGAAAGCTACTGCCTCGCTCTCCACCCCTCCACCTGCAGAGGCCTCATACCCCAGCCCCCTGCCTGTCACTTTGCCCCATGCAGAAAGCCTCTGTACTTAGGGATCAGCTGCCTGGAAGATTCTCTGGCCCCTGATGGGACAGTGTCAGTTTCCCTTGCTGAATATCCATCTGACCTGAGCCTCAGGTAGTTCCTGGGTACCCCTGCCCCCCACCAGCTGGCTGACCCAAGCCCACCTACCTCCCTTTGAATGTGCCCCTCCCAGTCTATGTGCCCCTCTTCCAGTTCCACCAGCTCACTTACTCCAGCCAAAGAAGGGTGGTAGACTCCAGGCCAGGGCATAGAGCCAAACTCCCAGCAGGACAAACGCTGCACGCCTCGTGGACGCCACACCAATGGTGGCCAGTGGGCGTGTGATCACCAGATAGCGGTCCAGGGCGATGGCCATCAGGGTGATCATGGAAGAGATGCCAAAGAGAGCTCCACAGAAGGCATAGAACTCGCAGCCTGTGGGCACAGCCCCTGCACTGAGTCCTGGGGAGGAGGGTCTGGGGACGGAGTGCACTCTGCTCCGGCCCTCGCCTCGAAGGAAGAGCAGGCCTGAGTGCACTCCATCCCCTCCACCTGCCACATCTGGCCAAGGCTGGCAGAAACCTCAGAACCAACACCGTCTT